ACGAGCGAGGAGGTCTTGCCAATCTGAAGACGTGTTAGTGATAGTTTGTGGAGTGTGTAGAAGGAACGTACCAGGAAAACGACGGAGACGTTGAGCAAGAAAGCGACGGATGCGTTGGCCAGCAGAGTGGTCAGACCAACACGGTCGATGTCAGCCATAGACATCTTGGGGAGCTCAGTGAACATGAGAATGACACCGTTGATGAAGGCGCAAGCAGGGGCGTAGTAGTAGAGGGAGACGAGCGGGTCCATCTTGAAGTCGGCACCGCTGAGAAGGCGCTGAACCATGACCAGACGGACAGCCTCGAAGACGATACCAGCGGCCTGGAAGAGGAAACCGACCATGACGAACTTGATCTCTCCCAACGAGGCAATGACTACACCGATGACGATGAAGGAGACGTTTCCGAGAGTCTTGAGGTTGACAGGCGCAACTCCGAGACTCCAGGTGGTGATGAGGACAGCGACGGGCATAGTAGCCTGCTGAGGTCAGTAGCTGCTACAGGTCCAAATTCGTGGAGAACATACCTTCAGCATCTGGATGAAGGCCACACTCAGGTACAGATATGCCTGGTTACCGCAGATCAAGCTCATACTGAAGAAGATACCGATGGGGACGATGGCTCGCAGGTATACGCGTCCGGTCATGGGCACCTTTTTCCGGGAGTCGAGGACGGTGGTGAAGCGGGCGAGGATCTGGGTCATGACGGTCGCGAAAACCAAATGCCATGTTGTGAGGAAGATGGGGTAGTCTGCCGGTGTGTTAGAATGCGGAGGTGCGGCGGAGCAGAGTGAACGTACGGAACTTGGCTGTGTCTAAGATGTACTTGTTGAAGACAATTGTGCTGGAACTGAGCGAGATCCATGTTGCAATGTATACTGCAGGATGGAAAGATGGCGCCTCGGGGGCTGGCTTCTGCGCATCTGGGTTGACGGTCGGCAGCACAGGCAGGGCTGTGTCGCGCGAGGCCTCGACCGAGGATCTCATCTTCTCGTCGGACATATTTGCGGGTGGTGGCTAACGAGGGACGGTAAAGGTGTTGAGTGAAGGTCAAAGGAGGTGGTTGCGGCGCTGGGAATGCAAGTTGCAAGGTTGCAGTAGCAGTGGGCTAGCGCTGCTGACTGATGGCGGGTGTTGCGCGTCAAGGGACAAGCGTGGCACAAGCAACACGAAGCAGCTGTAACAGCGCTGGAGCAATGAGGAGATAAAGAGCGACGAGAAGTGTTGAGAGCACTTGTACAGTAAATGTGACGGTACTAATACCTCGACTGCGCTAGGGAAGGGGAGGGGCGGAGCGGGAATCAGCCAGACGACTTCTAGAGCCGGTGCACAGGGGGGGTTCTGGTTTAGGCGTGCTATCACTGGGCAACGGCCGACTATGTACTAGAGCTGATATGAGGCCAGATGAAGATTTGCCAGGAGCCGCGCGGGATTTTGCAAGTGCTCGATGAGGTGAAACTGATCGCCCGTGGAGCCCTGAGTGGACGCGCAATCGACCACAGCGGCGAGCACTCCCATCAATGGCGCCGAAATTTTGAGCCGCCTCTTGCACTTGCTTGTGTAGGTGTGTACGCGTACTGGCACCCTGCAGAGAGGCGCCGAAGACACCGGTCCCACATATATGTAGAAAAGTGACAGCTTCATGCACATCGCGCACTCGCTGCTGCCACGCGCAGCGGTTTACATTGCAGGAGCTGTGCCGCGTCGCTGGAGCGCAGGGTGAGGCGCACCGTTAGGGGTATGCAGAGTACTTCGCACACAGGCGTCGTTGCACCGTGGCACTAGCACGACACCAAGTCGATGCGTCGTTGATCTGAGGCTGTAGTCCCCCAGAGATAGAGTCGGTCAAGCTTCACCATGTGCTGCAGCCCGCCAGATTGAGGCTCCACCCGCGGGAACGTGCAGAGGCCATGGTGACACACGCAACTCGAGGCCACGGGCAATGAACATGTTGCACGCACGAGTGGTGAAGCAGACGGCCGGCACCAATCAAGGCGCCCACGAGCAGCTGCGTCAAGCCCGATCGCCGGTCCCCATGGCGGCCTGCCCCTTTTCTCGCCGTTGCAGCGCGGCCGTCTGAAGCCCCCAAGCTCTCCCCAGCCGACTCCTTCGGCGGCTGGCCCTCTGTTACCCTGGACCCACTTAACGCAGCATCGCCTTGGCGTCCTTAGTTTATCGCCAGCTATATTCCTCACCACGCCCCAAACGTCTGGCCTCTGCTCCACACCCTCTCTATAACTACAAGTGCTGCTCGCCCGCAGAGTACATGCTCAACTACGCCCGCCAGACTTTGAAGCGCGTTCCGAGTTTCCAGGAAATACTACAGGGCAAGATGGGATCCGCCAAGGAAGAAATGTATGTTCACCGCCTGCTCACCCACACGGCATCCTTCTGAGCACGCGCTGACAATGCCATAGTTCGGTCGACGTGCTCGTTATCGGCGCTGGCCCGACCGGTCTGGGAGCAGCAAAGCGCCTCCACCAGATTGTATGCTCAACACAGAGTCCAAGTGGCGGGGCACATGCTAACAACAACAGGATGGCCCCTCATGGATGATTGTCGACTCCAATGAGACGCCTGGTGGTCTGGCTTCGACCGACGTCACTCCAGAGGGCTTCGTGAGTACCCCCACCGCCAATTGACTGCCCGCCTCTAACTCCTCCCCAGCTCTACGACGTTGGTGGCCATGTCATCTTCTCCCACTACAAGTACTTCGACGACTGCATCGACGAGGCCCTCCCCAACGATGACGACTGGTTCACCCACGAGCGTGTGTCGTACGTCCGCTGCAAGCGCAACTGGGTCCCCTACCCATTCCAGAACAACCTGTCCATCTTGGACAAGGACGACCAGGCCAAGTGTGTCGACGGCTTGATTGACGCCGCACTCGAGGCCCGCGTGGCCAACACCAAGCCCAAGGACTTTGACGAGTGGATCATGCGCCAGATGGGTGTTGGCATCGCTGACCTCTTCATGCGACCATACAACTTCAAGGTCTGGGCTGTGCCCACCACCAAGATGCAGTGCCAATGGCTCGGAGAGCGTGTCGCCGCCCCCAACGTCAAGGGTGTCATCAACAACATCATCCACAACAAGACCGCAGGAAACTGGGGCCCCAACGCCACCTTCCGCTTCCCCGCGCGAGACGGTACCGGTGGTATCTGGAAGGCTGTTGCAAAGACACTGCCAGACTCCAAGACAAGATACGGTGACCACGGCAAGGTCAACAGGGTTGATGCCGACGGCCACAAGGTACACCTGAACGACGGCACAGTTGTCAACTACAAGAAGCTCGTCAACACCATGGCTGTCGATCAGCTCGTCGAGTTCATGGGCGACAAGGAGCTCATCGACCTCAGCAAGGGTCTCTTCTACTCCACCACCCACGTCATTGGCGTTGGTCTCCGCGGCGAGCGACCAGAGCGCATTGGCGACAAGTGCTGGTTGTACTTCCCCGAGGATGACTGCCCATTCTACCGTGCCACCATCTTCTCCAACTACTCGCCATACAACCAGCCCCAGAAGGACGTCAAGCTCGCCACTCAGCAGATGGCAGATGGCTCCAAGCCCAGCTCCACTGAGCCCAAGGAGGGCCCATACTGGTCCATCATGTTGGAGGTCTCCGAGTCCAGCATGAAGCCCGTCGATGAGAAGAACATGCTCAAGGACTGCATTCAGGGTCTCATCAACACCGAGATGATCAAGTCGGATGACGAGATCGTCTCCACCTACCACCGCCGCTTCGACCATGGATACCCCACCCCATCCCTCGAGCGTGAGGGCGTCCTCACCAAGCTTCTCCCTGCCCTCCAGGCCAAGGACATCCTGTCTCGTGGCCGCTTCGGCTCATGGCGCTACGAGGTCGGTAACCAGGACCACTCGTTCATGTTGGGTGTAGAGGCCGTCGACCACGTTGTCAACGGTGCTGTTGAGCTTACTCTCAACCACCCCGACTTCGTCAACGGCCGCAAGAACGAGGAGCGTCGTCTCAAGGACGGTGCCCAGATCTTCAGCCAGAGCCCCTTGGCTCTGAGGAACAAGGGTGTTGAGTAAGCGCAGACACATGAAATGTTCGATATGTGTAGTTTCGGGAATGTTTATGGGATACCACGTTATGTTATGAGAAGGGATGGGAAGACATGGAGTCGGCGCATTTGTGCGGAGACTCTAGGTAGATAGTTGCATACAGTTTGCATCTTGAGAAGGTGTTGAGCAAAAATCATACATTTAGACTTGCACTCCAACACATGTTGTCTTCCCACTTAGTGCATCAACTTCTGTCATCGCTTCTCTGAACGCTTTCCTGGCGCATCACCTACATTTCCACGAGACAATGCCCTTCGATACCACCAAACAATCGCATTCGCATTCCGATCGATCGATCCCAACAACCACCCACCTCACTCTACATGACTAGCCCTAATCAAACCACGGACATTTACACCGTCACATCGTCATCTCATTTTCCCGCGCACCAAGGTTGCGCGAGTCGGCAGCAATTACATTCGTACACACCAACAAGCGTGAAAGTGGGTAACGACCCCCACCCCAAGTGTACAACGGGCCGATTAGGTACGGCATGCCAACCGAAAGCAATCTGCCCTCGTTACACCACAGCCGCTGCGGTGGAGTACAGTACATGCAATGCTTGGAAGAAGACGCGTACAACATTCGATAACTACGGTTGTACTACGGAGGCGATCCGGGATCAAGAGGTAAATGGAGGGATGTAGATAGAAATGCGTGACGAGGTGTGAAGACTTTTTTCTCGCGCGGGCAGGTAGGTAGAGAGCACAGTAATGGGTATGGGGTAGGTGGAGCGAGGAGGTAGGTGCATGGGGAAGGTGTTTGTAACGTGGCATTCTTGGTGATGTGTGTCTGCGGGTTGCAAGTCGGTGTATTTGGTGGGGTTGTAACGTGCACATACGTTGCGTATATTGGGTGTTGTATAGGTCACGTGTTTATCTTCTGTCGACGCGTCGATACTCAGTCGGATGCAATCAAGCCTTGCTTGCCCTGAACTTCCTCAATACCTCCCTCTCCTCCTCATTCCTCGCTACACTCCCTTCGTCACCAACTGGGAGGCGCTGATGTTTCCACTGCTTGCCTCCAGCGCCGTAATCTGCACTGACCTGCGCATCACCTACAATGACCCATTTGTAAATCGTCAAGCCTTCTAGTCCAACAGGTCCTCTAGAATGGATCTTATTTGTTGAGATGCCGACTTCGGTACCGAAGCCATATCGCTGGCCATCCGCCATGCGCGTGCTGGTGTTCCAGTAAACGGAGGATGAGTCGACGGCTGCGAGGAAAGTCTTCGCTGTGATTTCCGAGGTGGTGAGTATGGCATCGGTGTGGTGGGAACCGTGAGCGTTGATGTGGTTGATAGCTTCGTCGACGTTGGTAACTGTCTTAATGGCGAGTATGTAGTCTAGGAACTCGGTGTCGTAGTCTTCCGGTCCGGCTTCCTGTAGAAGCGTAGCGGAGTGTGGGTCTAGTTTGCCTCTGAGGGCGAGGAGCGAGGTATGGTCACAGCGGAGTGATACGCCCTTTTGTAAGAGTGCTTCTGCGACGGTGGGAAGAGTGGTGCTCAAGGCTGCTTCTTCAACAATGAGTTGCTCGAGGGCGTTGCAGCCAGCTGGGTAGCTTGTCTTTGCGTCCAAGACTATCTTAGTGGCCTTTTCGGCGGGGTAGTCCGCGCAGAGGTAGGTTGAACATATTCCATCTGCGTGGCCGAGGACGGGGATGGTGGTCGTGTCCTTCACATAGCGGACTAGTTTATTACCACCGCGAGGAATACAAAGATCGATGTACGTATCCTGCTTCAGCAAGTCGGCGATGACATCGTGTGTTTGGACTAGTTGCAGGCAGTCTGATGGGACCGCTGTTGACGTAAGAGCCTTGGAAATGATGGATGCAATGGCCGCGAAGCTGTTGCTGGATTCTCGGCCACCTTTGAGGATAGCTGCGTTTCCAGACTTGATGGCGAGCGCGGATATGTTCGCGATGACTTCAGGTCTAGCTTCGAAGATGATGAGAAGAACGCCAATAGGACATGTTATCCTTGAGAGGACCAAGTCATCATCCAGTAGGGTCCTCGCGGTGGTCTTGTTGATAGGATCCTCCAACTCCTTCACGTCCAGTATCCCCTGCAGCATATCCTCATACTTCCCCGGCTTCCCCAGATCCAGTCTTTTGACCAAACTTGCACTTAGCGTGCCTCCTGCTGCGGCCTTGTTCGCAGCTTCCAGATCCCGCGCATTGGCCGCTAGGACCTCCTCTTTTCCAGTTGCTAGTGCAGCATGAATAGCAGTCAGTGCGGCATTCCGCTCCTCGGTAGACAAGACAGCAAGTTTCCGGGATCCGAGTCTGGCCGCCTGGGCGACCTCGAGCGGCGTGGCGTTGGTGAGAGACATTGTCACTTGGGTTACTTCGTGAGGTGGTGAGACCTCGTAACGTCGATAAATTCTTGATGGACGTGTGACTCAGATTCGCCTAGAAAGGGACAAAGTCTTCCACGGTGTTCTCGGAAGGATCGTATGCAGGGTCTTGTGCCGCTGCAGGTGCTATTCGAGACTAGAAGCGGATCGTATGCGGAGTGCGCGTTGTGTCTAAAGATAGGTGCAGGATCTGGTGTTGCGGGGTCTGGATACTGGATGCGTTGCGCCACTTTTCGACGCCACACCCGAGTTGAGGTCTGGGATACCGCCATGTCACTTACACCGTGTTTTGCACTTTGCGCAATACCTGTTCACTGTGTAAACTACCACGGACTTTGTTGAGGAGAAGAAATTCGATTGCGTCATATTCGAGATGGATCCCTGCCTGGGCGCGGTGTTGGCAGCTGCGCTCGGCTGAGGCAGGGGTCTTGGTGTGGCTGGGAAACATCGTCTACCAGCCTCCCGGCGTCGCTCAGCCAACCTCGCCCAATTCCACCGAATCCTGTATCGCGACAAGCCCTGGCCCGCTCTGCTAGCCCGCGCGACACCTCATCATGTAGGTCATTGCTCAGAGATGGCTGGTACACTACATATGCTGGCCGGCAGCTGTGTCTGTCACCATTACACACCTCTACCACTGCCTCTCAAGTGCTGAGCGGGTACCCAACCAAACTTCTCTCTTCACCCCGATACTCACACGTGTTACTCGCTAGTACTCGTTTGATATCACAGCACATCTTGGACATCACATCGCATCCCGTCGCTGTACCACAACCACCGGCGCATCCCGTCGGCAACGCTCGCTACCTGTCATCTCCGCCGTCACATCGCACTCAAGATGCGCACCACCATGCGAGCACTCACTGCTCTGGCCTCGGTCGCCCTCATTGCCCCTGCCGCCGCTCAGACATGGTCCAACTGCAACCCCACACTACGAAGCGACTGTCCTCCAGATTCGGCTCTCGGAAGGACCGTCAACATCGACTTCTCGTCTGAATCTGAGAGTTTCACACCCCAAGGCAACCCCACATACGGCGACGATGGCGTGTCTTTCACCATAAGACAGTCCGGCGATGCACCTCAGCTTACTTCGCTGTGGTACATCATGTTCGGAAAGGTGGACATTGAGGTTCAAGCCGCACCCGGCGCGGGTATCGTCAGCAGTTTCGTACTGCAATCCGACACTTTGGACGAAATCGACTGGGAGTGGCTCGGAGCAGACCCCGACGAGGTTCAGAGCAACTACTTCGGCAAGGGACAAACCACAGACTACAACCGTGGTGCTTTCCACGACGACCCGGGCAGCCAGTCAGGCTTCAAGAAGTACACCATCGAATGGACTCCAGAACAGATCGTATGGCAGATTAATGACGTGACTGTCCGCACTCTGGAGCCTGCCAACGCCAACAACCAGTACCCCCAGACCCCCATGCAGATCAAGTTCGGTGCATGGAGCGGTGGTGACTCCGCCAACCCTGCAGGTACCATCTCTTGGGCCCGTGGACCTACCGACTACTCTCAAGGCCCCTTCAGCATGAAGGTCAAGTCTCTCATGGTTCAGGACTACTCCACCGGTACTCAATACGTCTATGGCGATCAATCTGGCACCTCGGGATCTATCAAGTCTGTTGGAGGTACCGTCTTCTCTGGCGGTAACGCTCCCATCGCAGACGCACCCGCCATCACTGCGACTGCCACCGGACAGCCTCTGCCCTTCACTCCTCACCAGACCTCCGACTACACACGTCCCAGCGTCTACCCCTGGATCCCCGACCCGTCGGCGACTCCCACTGCGCAGCCTACGTTTGCGAACTACCCCGGGCTCCCGAGCGGGTGGACCGTTTCGGATTCCGGAAAGGTTGTTCCACCCAGCTCAGCCACTGTCAGTAAGCCTTTTTCGAGCCCCTGTCTACTTTAGTGACGAAATGCTAACAATCACCTGTAGATGTTCCCTCAAGGTTCCTATACCTCATCGCCGCAAGCTTTGCCTACGGGTTCATCCGACAATGGGCCTAAGACAGTCACCGGATACGACGATCGCGGCTTCACCACTATCCGTACGATATACCCTGCCACAACCCCAGCGCCGACTGCCAACGGCCTGGAGAACAATGCTGCTAAGGACGCCGTCCCTGCTGCGCCTGCACAAGGCGCGTCGTGGAAGCTCATGGTCTCCTCCATACTTCCATGGGCCATCGTCCTAATCCACATCCCCGGATGTGTCGGCCTCTAGGCGGGCTGGACCAACTTATAGGATACGATGGTCTTCGGTCCAGCGTTCTACACCGTAGCCGTTGGCATCGTCGCGATGAGTGCATGTGTCAGGAAATGTTTTACGAAAGAATATGTCGGTTTCAAAGTCTCGATCAAGTTATGGGCTGCACCTTGGCCAGCTGCCACTTGGAAGTTGAGCTACCAGAACAAAGGCTCCAAAGGGAGTAGGAGGGAATATATTGGTTTTTGGAACTGGCTTCGGCTATTGTTTGGATATTGAATTGCATAGCGTTGGGTTGGGTTAGTTGTTGTATAACATCAGCATGGCATTGCATGGGTGGAGTTTAGATACGGGCTCAGGCTCTTTTGGACGTTAGACTAATGACGACTATGTCGTAATGTAATGAATCCTACATCAGTACATCATCACAAAATGTTTTTTCACTGTAATCATGTTCCCGAAGTCAAATACGCAAAAGGTTGCTTTACGAAAGTCTGACTCGAGGCGAAGGACCCTATGGCGTCCATCACAGCATGCGATCCGACTTTGGGAGAACATCTACGTCTTCGCACCAACGACTATCGCTAGCGGCCCTCGTGATCAAGTATCTGCATATAAATACCTCTCACTTCACTTTCTTCTTTTCTACATCGTCACTTCCAACGTTTATCGACAAAAAACAACGCTCTGCCAATGCTATGTCCTGCTGTCCTCCCTGAGCGGATCATCACAATGAAATCAAGCAGAATTGATGACTTCTGCGGTCTGGAATTCTCGCGTCGTTCCAAAAACAGGCCAATGATGTGAAAATGTGGTATCGGACCTTCTGCTTCGACTTTCTCCAAAGTTTGACAGTTTTCGGAAGAGCATTGCGCTACGCGGATGAGCAGTTCAAGTGGAAAAAGCGCAAAGTTGATGTTGTGGACTTGCGCGAAATAAACGCAGGCGCTTAGTATGTCCAAGGACTTCGCCTCCTCAAGGTATAAAAAGGGCCTCGACTTTTTCTTCTCTGCTACTCTTCATCCCACTTGAATGGGCGCTCTACAACAAAAAGCAATCGCATCGACGGATGACTGGCGCTGTCTTTCTCTTCAAAAACACAAGTGCATCACCCAAGCCTCTTCTTGACACCTTGCTGTCTTCCATGTTTTCAAAAGATCTTTCGCGCAAGTGTTATGGGCTGTTCTCAGTCCACAAACACGAAAGACAGCACAAACCGATCAAATGTTCATTAAGACATTGGAAAACGATCTATTGAGCTGCGGAGTAGAAAAAGACGTCGATTTCTTCCGGATGTGCGTCGCCTACACGTATACAAGCGCTACCTGCATAGCATCTTCCGCGATTTGGCTGTCGCGTATAAAACCCGGCAGCTCAGCATCTCCGTTACCCCCGAAGACACATACTTCGATTCTCAAAATAAAGTTCGTAAACCGCAACCGCATGTTTGGCACTGCGGTCTAACCTACTGCAACCATATGTCTCCTCCTGCCGCTCTTGTCGTTGTAAAACGAGCAAAGATGTGGTCATGTGCTGTCCATAAGCTGCTGGGTATCTCACTCATACCAGAGAGGTCAAAATCTCATGCGAGTTTCATCGCGATGCAGGGTGCGTGGTTCGCGTTTCTTCGCCAACACATGTACCATACCATTCTTCTTTCGAGAAGCATGCAATGGTAACCAAAGACGGTGAATCAAAAACCATCTATGAGCTATGCAAACGCTCGTAGGCTACACACATATAAACAATGTCGTCTGCCGGATCATGCTCTCCTTCTTTAGCTATATCTCGGATCTCCAATACTAAAAATGGCGCACGGTACATACATGTCTGCGGGCGCTCTGGTTTCAAAATTAGACCAATTTCGTCACATGTGTTCGTTCCTTCCGCCGAAGTTTCTACCGCGAGCCCTATCAAAGTCCTTCTTTGCAGACCACACTTCGACTTATCGGTTCTTGTGAACCATGATATAGCTCCCAGAAACAAAGAGAACAAGGCTCATGCCTTTGCCCGTTTTGCCTTCCCGGGACGATCAAAACGACTCTATGTAAAGAACTATGTTGCCCGCCGTCCTGGTTCTGGTAGTGGAGACTACCGTAGTGTAGCCATATATAAAACCTCTTTTCTACTCCTCAGTCTTCTCTTCTCTACTTGTGCCTTCAAATTGGCAACTCCAAAATAAAACAACTGAGGACGACATGAGCTTGTCTGCGGTTGGGTTCTTTCGAAAAGACATCAAATGTGCTTAATGTCCGGTGTTGTGCGCCTCCTTTCCAATCTTCGAAACTACCTACCGTCTGCCCAGAGCACCAAAAGCCAAGTCTCAATACTATTCATCACTCAAAACGGGCCATGAGAAACGAATGGGTCTTCTTCTCTGTTTCTGAAAGTTTGGGGAGACACCAACATGAGCTTGTGTCGACACAGTCGCAGTCATTAGAGAATCAACATGAAACCGTTCACCGAAAAGAGATTACTGAAACTGGGATGTTGCTGTGTGTTCTGGGTCGTAGTATCAATATCTCAGCCTAAAGCCGCTCGCCCCACACAAGATGCTCAAGAACTGCTTCGAAGTATAAAACGGACTTGTCCAAGCCGTATAATTGCCCAAAAGACCAAATCGCTGTTCCAAAATCCGAATGAGCCCTCCGCATGTTCGGGGTGGAAAGACGAGAATTGAATTCGCGCCAACGGTGCCTAATGTGCTGCTTTACACGGGAGATATTCCGTATCTTTCTGAACCATGTTTTGATATGTAGTTGTTGTTCTCCTTTGACCAAAGATGTCTCCCCAGGTTAGTCATGGCTCTGCCTTTTCTAACTCATCGGTTGATCAACTCACACTGCGAGGGCGAACCTACAAAGAGTGAGGGAGTGGATGTGTTCATCAAGAAAAACCCAAAAGTTGAAAGACTTGAAATAATGGAAGGCCAACAACGCCGAAATAGACTTTTTTGTTTTTGAAAATGCTAGTATACAGAAAGAAGAAGACCACCTCCAACCTGTTCATGCAGCAAACCCCAATACCATGTCATTACCCTCCCATCCCATCCCAAAGAGGAAGAAAAGGAAGCGCAAAATCAAGATCTCGGCCATGCATATCACGAACTGAAATTATTCCACCATGTACAAACCCGACTCCACCCAGAAGAGTAAACACATCTCCGTTTTGACTTTGACGCATCTCTCAGGTCTCGTCTCTTGAATCTTCTTGAATCCACGTCTAACCACCACGGCCGCCGTAGGGCTGGTGCCTGAAGCCACCACCACCGCGGTGACCTCCACCACGGTAGTTCGCACCCCTGACACCAGCGTTCTTGGGTCCAGTGGGAGCGTTGATAGGAGCCTGACCACCACCAGCAGGGGGCTGGCTGGAGCCCTGGCGAGAGCGGTTGTTCCTAAAGCCGCCGCGGCCACCACCGGGACCGGAAGGAATGTTAGGCTGAGGCGCGTCTTCGTACATACCGTCCCAGCTCTGAGGGCCGCCCTGGGGGTTACCGAAGCCGGCGGGGCCGGAGAGTTGCTGCTGGCGGCGAGCCTGTTGTTGTTCGTATTTCTGCTGTTCGAAAGCGAGTTGATCTTGAGCGGTGTAAGCTGGGCGTGCACCGGCACTCTGGCCACCTTGAGGATTCATCATACCCGGACCACCTTGACCTCCTGGGCCTCCTCCACCTTGCATCTGTGCCATTTGCATCTGCTGCATTTGCTGCATCTGCATCGGGTTCATACCACCTGGGCCACCCATCATTTGAGGGTTCGGGGAGCCGTTGCCGCGGTTCATACCTTGGTTCATCATCTGCTGTTGCATCTGCTGCATTTGCATCGGGTTCATGCCGCCCATTGCAGCCATGGGGTTACCGGGCATACCACCGCCGGCTTGCTGCTGAGCAAGGGTTTGCTGCATGGACTGGAAGTACTGTTGCATTCGCTGCCAGTACTGAGCCATCATAGCAGGAGACATGGCGCTGTTGCCGCCTTGGCCTTGCATGTTTCCGCCGCCGTTGTCGTAGTTGTTGCCGCCACCTTGATTACCGTTACCGCCATCGTTGAACTTGTTGAACTTGTTGTTGCGACCGAACTTCTTGTTTCCATCGCCGCCATCGTCGTCGCGCATGTTGCCACGGGGTTGAGCGCGCTTAACCTCGATCTGTTTGCCGAGGATCTGGAGGGGCCCACGTAGGGTGGCGTCTACGGCTGCGTCGCCATCGAATGTAACGAAACCGAAACCACGGGGTCGACCGGTCTCCTTGTCCATCATGAGTGTGGCATCGACAACGCGACCGAATTGCTTGAAGAAGTTGGTGAAGTCTTCCTCGGTTGCTTCTTGGCTCACACCACCGACGAAAATCTTGCTGGTGCGTTCCTGCTCCTCACGTGGGATAGCACGCTTGGGGTCAATCTGCATGGTATTAGCTGATAGCTCGTTGTCGATTGGAGCAGACATACAATCTTGCCGTCGAGGTAGTGTTCCTTAACCATGACGATGTTGACGCACTTCGGGTCCTTGAACGTAAGGAAACCGAATCCTCTCGAGCGTCCAGTGGCAGCATCCCGCATTACGGTGCATTCACTGACTTCGCCAAATTGTGAGAAGTAACCCTTGAGTGAATCTGTTGTGGGGATTTAGTAAGTCCCTACGTTTGAGCGTATAGTTTTGTAGTAAGACTGGGGTATGCCTTGCTCTACTAATGTGTCATCACGTACCTTCTGTTGTCTCCCAGTTCAGACCGCCAATGAACATTTTACTATGGTTGAAGTTAGCATGATGTTGCTCCATATCATCAACTCCAGGGAGAGCAGGCGAGATTGATGAGGCGCATCATAGAGCATCCGTAGGTATATAGTTGGGTGGCCTTTGACGTGAAGGCTGGCGTTGGCCGTCATCATGATGCCGTCGAAACCATATTGGTAAGACTAAAGATGCAGAAAGTCGCAAGTACAGCATCCTCGCATACAGTCCACCGTATCTCCAGTTGTCATCCTTGGCGAGATATAGCAGGACACAATCTCAGTAGATGAGTGATTGGTGTAGGCTGGCGTCGCAGTCTTTGTCGAGTTGATCGCACTGCACCGCTGATTGTTGTTCGCCAGCGGGGCTATCGAAAGTGATTTCGCAAGTTGCAGTGTCGAGAAGTTCGAATTCCATAGCTTGTCGTGGTTGATTGATGACCGACAGGAACATGTATGTTGGTATCGTGAGGTTCCCTTGCCGCTCGCGAGGAAGACCGCAGCCGCTGACGAATGGCTAAGCGACACCAACTCCTGCGCCGCATCCGACCCTGGACGTGTCGACTTCGTGGCGTACACCAATCATATCGACCAAGAACGCACTCCACGTACTCATGTCCAAGTTTCGAGGTGCAAAAGTAGCCCTTGCAAAGGCACAGTTTGATTCGGATGAAACGTCTGTGTTCTGCTATGAATTCGAGTGTGGAAGTCTCAGACTATCTCACGACTCGGTAGCTATCCTCTGCTTGCGTTGCTGGTACGCGCTATCAAGTACCTAGGTATATATCGACATGAGGCGCTGCCAAAGTTCGGGCAAGCCGCGATAGTCCCTGCGTGAGGCGCGTTGATGGTTGCTCTGAGTATCGCTGAGCGGTTGACTTGTGTCTTCCAGCTTCTTCTAACAACCAACACTGGTGGCCCATTCCGCCATGCATCGAACGCCTCGCCAATGGGCGATGTGGACCACAATCTTTCGCAAGGTGTCTAGCTCCTCGACCTTCATCCCAGACTCTGCGCCAATCATGACCCCAGGTGCTTTTGAATGTAAGACACACACCGTGTCCAAAGCTTGTTCCTTGATTGTACATGCAAAGTGTCATACGAGAGCTGGTATCGCTCATGGTGTCTGATGCTCCAGCAGAATGTCTTATGCGGTCGTTGATGACTTTGGTCCTGGTAACAATATGTCCTCGGCGGATGCCCTTACACAGGGAATATGTGCTCTTTTACCTTGTGATGCGCCTCTGATAGATGGGAATCATGTTAGACATTGCACGACTTACCCATCTTCTTTCACGTTGATTGGCCCATAGTTGTCATCGTCCATGGGCGCATTGTCGTACGACTGCTCGCCGCCAGCGTTGTAACCGGATTGGTCCATGTGCGAGTCGCCGTCTGCCGCGCCTTGGGCTGGCCATGCGGGCGCGCTATCTTGACCGTTGTTCTGTGCAGTATCCTGAGGAGGCGCGCTTACGGGCTCGGCTGGAGTAGGCTCAGGTTCGGTCTTGGGGGCTGGTGCGGGTGCGGCAGCCGCAGGCTTCTGTGTGGGCTCATCATCGTAGCTGGTGGACCGTTAGCAAGTGTCGCATTACGCGCGCAAAGCTAAGTCGCGCTGGAAATACTGACAGATCGTCGAAGATGTCGTCTTCGTAGTTCTCATCGGCCATGGTGTAGTCTTGAAGAAGAGCTTCCTAAAAGGTATATCGGAAACGAGGGAGGAGCAAGCGCGCGAAAGTAGAGTCGCGATTAGTGGGGCGGGACTGTCGGGTTATTTAGAAGGAAGGGAGGTGATAGAAGGAAGAGTCTGTCGCCGGAGTGAGGAGATGAGAGCAGAGCAATGGGCAGGCGCGCTAGCATCGGGCTTGGCGTGGAAGGCGCGACGGATACATGCACGAGCCCTACGACATACCCAGTACAGCCATGTTGTATAGAATAGCTGTACTATTGATGGTGCGGTGATTCAAGAACAGGCTGTTATCTTGGGGATATCCAGAGTTCTTCCTTACGGCACAAAACCTACAGGCTCCTTCGTACTTTCCGGGTCGAGCGATTCGGAGCTCAGGTTCGCAGCGGGGCCGCCTCGAGGCACGGAACAAGCATTCACATATTCCAACATGGCGTCGAAGAAACAGCAGCAGGTTTGTCCACTCAGTTGTACGCGCAATCTGTGTGTTTGCTAACAAGTTGCCAGGAAATGGTCCAGGTCGGTGTGTGCCCATCCAAGTCACAGAGAGCGTCATAGTATCCGGGGTAGCTAACATATCGCTTCCCTGCATACAGACCGATCCTCGTACGTTGCACACTGCAGTCGCATACCCGTTTTGATTGCTGATATTCCATGCGCAGCTCTGGCTCTCCTTTCTGGCGAACGACGTCCAATTCCGCTTCCTCGCCGCCGCCGAACAAGAAGGTCATCGGCGCATCCTATTCCCATGCCGACATACTCAACTTCAGCTCTTTGTACGTTGCTTTGTATGCTATTAATGGCCTGTAGCTGATAGTCACAGGAGCGTTTCCGGTTCCAACTCACGACCTCGAACCCCGCCATCGGCAACCCACAGTCGCGAGTCAAGCGCTGCACCGAGCCGGTCTAGCAAGACCATATCGCCCCGTCCTGCGCGAGCCACGTACAGCTACTTCCTCAATGACACACATCAAGACTGGAACGAGGGGGACGAAGACGATGCCGACAACATGTTTGAGGATGACGAAGACGAGTTTGGGCTCCCGAGCATCGCAAACATGCGGAGGAAGGGCCGGCGGAAACAGCCATCCAAGACGAAGGAAACCGCCGGGCACGTCAGCAGGGAAAGTCTGGGCTCAACGGCGTGGCGTGGTATAGACAGTGGTGATATTGCAGAGGAGCGAGGCATACCCAACTACCCGACCGCAAAGAAGATTGAAGGGAAGATCTTACGGCCGCAGTACCAGGAAATTCTTCGAGATCCCGCAAACTCTCTGCATCTCATTTCGCATCCTAGTCTACCCCCGAATGCCTCAGCGAAGCAGGTCGAAGAGCACTCCGCGCGCACAACAAGGATCAACAAGTTCAAGAGGATACTGCAGGCGAGCACCATATCGCTATCAGACCTTCGCGACTCAGCCTGGTCAGGAGTCCCGTCTGAAGTACGCGCAATGACATGGCAGATCTTGTTGGGATACCTGCCAACTAGCAGCGAGCGGAGGGTCGCGACACTCGAGCGCAAACGGAAAGAGTATCTGGAGGGAGTGCGACAGGCCTTTGAACGAGGTACATCTGGTAGTGCTAGCGCCGTAGCATCTGGAATGGCAGGCGGCGCTGGCTATCCTTCAACAAACCGTGGACGAGGACGTGGCTTGGACGAAGCTATATGGCATCAGATCAGCATCGACGTGCCTCGGACGAACCCCCATCTCGAGCTCTACAGCTACGAAGCGACGCAACGGTCTCTCGAGCGAATACTATACGTGTGGGCGATACGGCACCCTGCGTCAGGATATGTCCAGGGCATCAATGACTTGGTGACCCCATTTTGGCAGGTCTTCTTGGGCGCCTACATTTCAGATCCGGATATTGAATTTGGCATGGATCCTGGACAGTTACCAAAGCAAGTTTTGGACGCCGTTGAAGCGGACTCCTTTTGGTGCCTTACCAAACTCCTTGATGGGATTCAAGACAACTACATTGCGCATCAACCAGGGATCCAAAGACAAGTGGCTAGTCTTAGAGATCTCACAACGCGCATCGATGATCAACTGGCAAAGCATCTCCAAAATGAGGGTGTAGAGTTTATACAGTTCAGCTTCCGATGGATGAACTGTCTTCTGATGCGCGAGATATCTGTAAAGAATACGATACGGATGTGGGATACATACCTGGTAAGCTACGTAGCCACACTCTTAAGTGCATCACTAACATTGTCTAGGCCGAAGAGGATGGGTTTTCGTCATTCCACCTCTACGTATGCGCTGCGTTCCTCGTAAAGTGGTCCGATCAGCTACGAAAGATGGACTTTCAAGAGGTCATGATGTTTCTGCAATCATTGCCAACGCGTCAGTGGACCGAAAAGGACATTGAACTATTGTTAAGTGAAGCCTTCATTTGGCAAAGCCTATTCAAAGGCAGTGGCGCGCATTTGAAGAACACAGGCTCAAGAGGAAGTGGCGTAGGGATGGGACCCGACTTCTGAATCAATTGCTGCAGCACAGTAGGTATTGCAATACCAAAGCACGTACGCAGCGCCTACACGAGTTGTCGTCTAACGAGGTGAATCAAGGAGAGTGAACTCCTGACTAAAGACAGCAATCAAGCTCGCGCTTCAACGTATTGGCAAGAATGCCCTTTCCGTTGTCCGAGTCGCGGTCGTCACTTCCGCCTCGTCAGTTACCGAGCGGCAGTTACCCCGCCCTTTACCCCACCATACGTCACACAGCTTCAGCAGTGTATCCAGATGGTGTTCAAAAGATCGACAAGTATTTCTACATCGTGGTTTCTCTAGAGTGAACTCATCAGCAAGCCCTCGAAGTTGTCACCTTCTGGACCGTTCCATATATACTTGACACTGCTATGGTACCATCGCGTCCTCCATTCCAGGATCTCCCACTCGACAAAAATGGTCCACCCGGAAACGCATGGGGCCTGTACGGCCCAAACGACGAGCTCGGTGCTCTAAACATGATTACACCATCAGCCGTCAAAGCAGCGGCCCGGGAGATACAAACCGGTGACCGGGTCTCACTTGACTGGTATCTCAACTTACCATCCCATCCATCCTTCAACCGTCCATCTTTCTCCTGGAAGATGAAGAACAAAGAACATCTAGATGGCGCGAAGAGAACCGTCAACGACGACCATCTGGATTTCAACACGCAGGGAAGTAGTCAGTGGGACGGCTTCCGCCACTACGGTTACCAGAGTGCAAAGAAGTACTACGGCGGGCGCTCACAGCAAGATCTCGAGTCCTCGGAAGTCATTGGCATCGATCGCGTGGCCAACTCTGGCGGCATCACAGCTCGGGGTATCATTTTAGATTATCCGCGGTATCTTGAAAAGAAAGGCAAGAAAGAAGTGTACGCGCTCGAAGCCAACAGCATCACGGCGGAGGAACTAAAAGACATGGTGCAAGAAACAGGTGTAAAGACGCGAGAAGGCGATCTGCTACTCTTACGAACAGGATTCACGCGTGATTACGCCAAGCTAGGCGAGGAAGAAAGACGGGCGATAAAAGACAAGCCACCGACGTTCTTGGGCGTACAGTCGGATAAGAACACGCTACAATGGATTTGGGAAAACGGGTTCGTTGCTGTTGGTAAGCATCCGCTCGTCTTACCTCATCTGATCTTCTCATGATCCAACGTCTCCTTGGCTTTTTCTCAAACACCTCCAACCACAACTCAAAGTACGCTCTCTAAAGATTCCGCAGCATCCGACGCGCCGTCGTTCGAAATGTCTCCGCTCGTAGGCCCACACAGCGCCCCAGGTGGTATCAACGCGGGTGAAACCTGGGAAAACGAGATGCAGGGCGGTGGCTTAGTACATCAATGGCTTTTGGGTGGATGGGGTGTCATGATAGGTGAGATGTGGGATTTGGAGCGGTTATGTGAGAAGAGTAAAGAGTTGGGCCGGAGTACTTGCTTTGTTAGTAGTGTGCCGTTGAAGGTAACGTCTTGCCAAGTTGCTGATACTGAGACATGAGCTGACTATTGCGTAGGTACCAGGTGGTGTTGCGAGTCCGCCGAATGCCGTTGCTATCTTTTAGCTGGGAGACGCTTCTCGTGGCACTTGGCATTGGAAAGAGGCGCCATGCAGATGAGAAGACGGGAATGCGCTGATATGGTGTTGTAGTATCAGTCTCGGGTGATAGAGTAATACGAGATACGACGTGCCAAGTCGGTGCTTACGCTCATCTCCTCTCCGCGCGGAGTTCTCTCCAGTGGCCAGCACACGAAACTGTCAGGAGTTCGTCATCGCGACCCTTGACGGGCCGAACTCTGCCGTACAAACAATCAATGCAGACGACTTCGCAATACTCCCCCATATCCTTCACGTCCATATTCATGACACTTCCTCCACGAACAACCACTCATTCCTTCACACCTCCACCCCAGACACATCTATTTTTACCCTAGCAAGCCCTACGCATGCAAACCATAAGATGCGGGGAACCCATGTCCCCGAAACCGGGTAAGCAGTATATTGCGCCAAGGCTGTTTGTACTTCATTTCCTCCTGCCACCCAACATCATCTCGATGGCTTGGAAAAGCCTATCGCTTTGACCACCACCGCCATCGCAGCCGTTTCACCCGCTTCTCCCTCAACGTCATCATGCTCATTTGCTGTTTTTGGTAGATCAGCCCCGTCAATTTGCTCAGCACGTGGAGGGAGCATTTGTGGCGTTTGTACTCGCGCCAAATATATAGATTTGGTATGTGTGGGATTGAGTTCGCATGTAAGCCGTAGTAGTGAAGCTGTCTGTCGGCGTATATGCGACGGCGACGGCTGAGGATCTTCGTGGACCGTGTTCCCCGGTGAAGCTTTTGGTGGGTGTTTGAGTGGATTGCGGTGTATATATTACCTCGTGTACGCCCGTGTTCATCTACATTCTTTGCAGCAATTACACATCCCTTCCATCGCTCGTACAGATCATCAAGCCTCCAACATCATCATCAAAATGAAGTCTTTCGTCCTCATCGCCGTCCTTGCCGCTTTCGTTGCGGCATCTCCTGTCGTACCTGCTCAAATTTGCACAAAGATCTGTCTCTTTGAAGAGCCAGACTGCCCAGGTGGGGTATGTTATCAACTTGCCACATTTGATATGAGTATTGTGCTAACGTGGAACAGGTGGCTGTCAAGTCTGGTGTAAGTATCTACTACACATGTGCTCTTCGATTGGCGAGGCTGGTATGTGAGCTAACGTGATGTAGGAATGCTGGTCCTGCTGCACCAGAGAATAGAGTGCACTTTTGACTCAGATTGGGGCTTTGCTTAGCTCGGGCAGATTACGGGGGTGGCCTTGATGCACTGCTTAGAGAACATTTGGATGGAGATTCGTGGGATCTGGACTATCATTTGATGAAATTACGGAACGCATGGAAGGCGGAATAGATATGATGTCACACGACGAACATTGTCTTCCAATCAATACAATGCCAGAACCTTCGCATCCATGACCTTTGGTTTCCAACTGCTGCCTTCTTGCACCTTGAGTCATTATATTCCCGATGTTCATACGCTGATTGTAAATGGTCACATTGTCGCTGTTCCCGCCTACCCACTCTCTACACTACTATGCCACGCTGTTCCGAAGTCTGATCTTTCTCTGAGCTCTTACTGACCTAGTGGTAGCTACGCGTTGTGTTACTGGCCAAGCTCCCGCTGAGTACATCCTTTTGTTTGTTGGTCGCATTTTCCGTTTTCGAGTTAGATTCATAGCGATGTTTGCAGTGGACGTCAGCCATAAGCTGAGAAGTCGCACAAACAGGTGCGTTCTTGCGAGTCTAGAGCGTGCCTTCTCATGCCATCCTCTTCCGAGTAATTCCATTTGTGGTGGCGTTGGGCGCCTTTTTGGTAGCGAGTATGTATATATCCTTACATGTGTCCCCTTGATTTCAGTCCTCATCTTTCACTCTCGTACACAAGCAACTTCAGTATCATACCATCAACATGAAGACCTCCGTCGCCATCACTCTGCTCGCCGCCCTTTTAGGTGCTGCTCTTGCTACCCCAGCACCCAGGATTTGCGATCGCAGATGCGAGGCCGGGCCGCCTACCAACTGTGGTGAGGGATGGGTATGTGAATTCGTCTCTAATAGAAGAGTGATTGTGTGCTAACTTGTGTCAGGAACCTGCACAGCTTGGTGTAAGTACACGTCGCTCTTCCGGCTTGAAGCGATGCTGAAGGGAACCGAGCTGACATGCGTAGGCTTGCTGGGCTTGTTGCCGTATTTGAGACTTGATATCGGGATCTGGACGTCGATAGCGATCTCAAACCGACTTCAGGTGGAAATGGGATGCGGATAAGAACAACGGCGGTGTTGGGATCCTTGGCCGGAGACTTGCGAGTTGAAGAAGACGGCGACGACCTTCGGGCACATGTCAAGACATTATCTAGGTAGCGTATAGTCCAAAGAAAGAAGTCTTCTCTGTCGCATATAGACGTTTCCAGTTCCGCAATCCTTGTTCCATTTCTAAAGTCATGTGAGTACCTCAACTACTTCACGTGAAGACAAGCAAGATCAGTGTACGGATTAACGTAATTGATGCGCAAACCTCGTACACCCATCTTCAGCCAGAATTGTTTTCTATCCATGACTCTCCGATGCTTCCAAGATTCGCTCACCTAAGCAGCCTCAGTCTGAGCAAGAAGGACCGTATCACGCAATACACGCCTTTGTCGACGAAATTCATGTCCTCCATCACAGTTACCAATCCTTACTCCAACATCAATACCCGTGGACATTAACCATACGGTCCGATTACCAGATCGTTGACTCCGCCGCGCAACTCGTCCGAGAAATCCCGTCACGACTACGGCACGCACCAAACACGGTACTTGGGAGCATACGACGTACTCGAAGTGTATCGTGATAGCGCAACATGCCGTTAAGGTTTGCGACCTTTGATAGGCACATAGATTGGGTGGTTGGTATGATAGTAACGCCGCGGTGAAGCCGAAAGGTTAAGCAACGGGCCGGTCGAAGTACCAATTCGATGCGACGGAGGAGTCTTGCTATGACGATGTAATTGAGTATATATACATATATCCCTCTCTTGCCATCTTCCCATTTAGAAACTACAATAACTTCAAAGGTACCATTGCCATCAAAAACAAAACACCACACCATCATCCAAAATGGGCCAACAATTCAGCCAATTCTTCCCCCCAGCCCCCGCCTTCACGGAGACCTCCCTCCCCAATCTCAGCGGAAAAGTCTTCATCGTCACAGGCGCCTCAGCGGGTATAGGAAAAGAGCTCTCGCGTCTCCTGTACACGCACAACGCGACGGTCTATCTTGCCGCGCGGTCCGCCGAAAAAGCGCATGCAGCGATATCCTGGATCAAAGAAGCATGCCCCGAATCCAAGGGAAACTTACAATACCTCCATCTGGATCTCGACGACCTCTCCGGTATCAAAGCCTCCGCCGAGTCTTTCTTGGCGAAAGAATCGCGATTGGATGTTTTGTTCAACAACGCAGGCGTCATGGTACCCCCCGCTGGAAGCACGACGAAGCAAGGGTATGAACTGCAACTCGGCACGAACTGCGTTGCGCCGTTCTTGTTTACCAAGCTACTCACGCCGGTATTGCTCGAAACAGCAAAGAAGGAGGCAAAAGGAAGTGTTCGCGTAATCTGGGTGAGTTCAATTGCGGCGCAGATGAGCGCACCACCTGGCGGAGTGGACATGAGCAATCTGGAGTATACCAAGAATGTGAATAATTGGACAAAGTATGGCATGAGTAAAGGTGGGAACGTATTCCACGCCTTGATGTATCAGAGGAAGTATGGCGGCGAGGGGATTGTTAGTCTGGTACGTTCTTCCTTCCAGGTTTTTTTTTGCTCGTTCCCCCTTTCCTCACGCTCTTCTTTGAGCATTGCCGTTCCGGGAGTTTCTTTGCATCGATCGACTAACGAAAATTTACTGCAGGCGCTTAACCCGGGAAACCTCAAGTCGGAGCTTGCACGCAACATGAATCCGGTGCGTCATGCTTGTTTGATGTGGCTCTTATACCCGGCTGTCAATGGTGCATACACCGAGCTGTTTGCTGGTCTCGCACCTGAGGCTGCAAAGCTCAAAGAGGGTGAGTGGGTCATTCCGTGGGGAAGGGTTGGGACGCTGAAGAAGGATTATTGGTCTGAGGCGGGAAACAAGACGGCGAGAGCGTTTTGGGAGTGGAGTGAGAAGCAGGTGGAGCAGTATGCTTGAGGATGTCGCGCTGCTTGTTTGTTGATTCTTCTGTCATTTGTGAATCACCTACCTCATCATATGCCGATTAATGCTATTAACTTCACTTGGAAAGTGTTCGCGGCCCTGTGAATGACACATTCGTATATACATTCTATCATTCAATCATTTATCCCAAGAAGATCAGTTATCAAGCCTTCTTCGCATCCTTAGGGGCCATAGCCAGAAGCGTGTCCGGATCCCTAATGCCAGCCAACTGACCCTGCTGCGCACGCTTAACGGTAAGCGCAGCAATCAGAGCAGCACCGACACCAGAGCCGTCCTCAGCGGGAAGCACCTCGACAGGGTCGTTCTTGCCCTTGCCGTACTTGGCGGGCCAGTCCATGATCTCTTTGAGCGCCTGGGCTTGGCGGATCTTGAAGTGGGGGTACTTTGTGAAGACGGAGCCATCGGCACCGACGTGCACTTCATCCCACTTCTTGTGCTTGCAAATGGCACCTACACCACACGCGGTGAGACGAGCAGCACGTGTGCCAATGAGTTCGGCAAGACGGCGGATGAGCTCGAGTTCGGGCTTCGTGCAGGTGATGCCGAGCTTCTCTTGGAAGAGATCTCCTGTGTCTTGCAAGTTCTCGAATCGGTCCTCCTCGATTTGAGACAGGAATCCGGCGTCGAGAGAGTAAGGCTTGTCGAGCTTGCTGGCGTTCTGGCCCTCAAACATGTGGCATTCGTTACCCTTGTGCAGATCCTGGAGGACGAGACGGAAGATCTCGCCGAGGTAAAGACCGGCGACCATCTTCTCGAAAGATTGCTGACCGGGTCGTGGTGATTCCTTGTCAACGATGACATCGTACTTT